CGGGTCTGGCGGTAGCACTTTTAGCTGTAGCTTAGCATAGATCATTGAATCTGATTAGACCGTTAGCATCTCGCTCAAAAATGACCAAAGAGTTTCGATATTTTTTCTATTTATTATGATTTTTCCTTATCTATTACGCAGCGCCTGAAAATAGTCCCCAGCACGCTCCCTGTGCAAGCAGGTGGTCACGTTGGTTATGTTGACGGAAGTTAGCCTATTTTCAGGCGCTGCGAAATATCATTTTCTGTCGGACTTAGTACACGATGTAACTACAGAAGAGTCCAGTTTTAAATAGGAAAAATATAGAAACTCTTTGGTCTTTTTTGAGCGAGATGCTAACGGTCTAATCAGATTCAATGATCTATGCTAAGCTACAGCTAAAAGTGCTACCGCCAGACCCGGAGATCGGCTGAATGAATTCGAAAACGGTAAAACTCAACTGTTTAACTCTAGGAGAGTTGGAAAATGAGCCTATTTTCAAAAATAGTGGAGTGTTCCTTTAAATCCATTGTAATTCTGCCATGAGCAAACAGTGTGTGTCTTGAGGCTACAAGGTTAATACAGACATTTGCCCTATTACAGAATACAGTTTACTTCAGCATTTTAATTGCAACATTTCAAATCTCAGTGACATCATGGATCACGGAAATTTGCAGTGCACAGTGAAGAACCTTTGGAGAAACCAGGCTTAGTCTGGGGACCAGTACTCCTCTGGACTAAGCGAACAAACACGGTGTGATACAGATCGGGAAAGTGTTGAGGTGTTGTCAACCTGATTTCTTTGTACTTATACATCTCCAGCTTAGTTTAACTCACACCATTGTATTTGTTTCTTTAGAGGTCCAAATAGAAAGACAACGGTGATCTGCATTAATATTTTATGTGACACTGGGTTACCCTCTGAATGCCTGCAAGAACTCTACACTTCTTTCTTACACAGACTGCAGACTACTAAAACAAGCAGCGTGTGAGAAAGTAATAACAACCCACAGTTTTCAATCGACTTTTCTACAAGAGCCTAAGCCAAAGCCCCAGCGTTGAGAAAACTATACATGCTGGAAATGCACTGAATTTGTTTCAATGTTCATATCACATCAGTTACAATTGTTCGGTTAAATGTGGGGAAAAGCTCTAATCCTAGAGTTGATGCTGTAGTGGTTACTGTTATTACTGAAGTTTCTTTGGACAGAACAGAATTAAAGTATCCACAGTGGCATTTATATGCAGCAAATGCGTACAAGTTGAAATTAGGTTGTGGAGGAGTTTAATAGCGTTCCAGTATCATGAAGATGCCTATTGCTGCTGCAACCTGATTTTCCAGACTCTCTCTTTCTCTCAAGTCACTCTTCCATGGTTGGACTGCACATCCTCTCACTACAAGGAGAGAATGTGAGACGTGTATTGATTGAACACACACACTGACAAACACACACATTTTCCTTGAGCTCGGAGGATAGCTGAAGGAAATTCTCAGGGAAAAGCTTGAATTTTTATCAGCAGTTTATTCTGCTGTAGTGTGCGATTTTTTGGCTCCCAACCAGTCCCACAGTGGATGGGAACAGGGCTCGGCTGTGAAAAGCCACTTTGCCACCTGTCTCTTCTCTTAGCTTCACTCTCAATCTTGCTCTCATTCTCCTTAATTTTTTGTCCCCATAGGGCTTTGCTTTCAGATGAATCTATGTTATGGCAGATGATTTTAAACCAATGTCTATAATTAGGTGCAAAATTATTTCAATGTTAAACCGAAGGCTGTATGAGTAACATCTCATCCCATCTTGTGACAAATAATAATATATTGCAAAATAACAAAACTCCTTTAAAAGCTTTATTTTATTTTTTTCATTGTCACAAGAAGTAATCTTGATCTAACTATAGTTAGTGAACCCTATTCATGCGGTACTTTGGATAAAACAGCTAAAAATATCGCAGATGATGACACTCTCCTTATGAATCTTAGTGACCATATAAAAATTACAGCAATATTCACAATGTTGTTTAAATAAATGTTCTTCAAGCAAAAAAAAAAAAACTAAATAAATAAAATATCACTTTAATCTCTGTTGTAGCTTTATTTTTATGTATTTATTGTATTTTGAGGAATTTGTTAATGTACCAAGTCACTTCTCATGGTACTGCCGGCTTTAGATGTATCATTTATGTTATATTGTATTACTTGTTTGTAACTTGATTTTTGACAGAAATATGCAGAATTCTGTGGAATTGGCGTGGTAAAAATTCTTAAACAGAGATGATAATACATTTATTGGTAACTGGATTCATCAGCATTTATCCAAAATACTGTATAAGCACA